TACTCCGACTACTACACATACGGCTACTACTGGTACGCCTACCACTACTACTACTCCTTCAACCACTGCTGAGGACTACTACTACTACTACTACTACTACTACTACTACTACTACTACTACTACAGCTACTGCTACGAATGCTACGAATACTGCTGCTGTCCGTACTACTGCGATTCCTACGGCTACAAGTACGACTACGACTGCAAGTATAACGAATTCTACCACTACGGATGCGAGTGCGACTCTGACGTTTACTACTACTGCTACTAGTACTACAACGACTACGACTACTACTGCTACTACTACTACCGCTACTACTGCTGCTACTACTACTACGGATCCTAACACTACTACCAATATGTTCAACTACTACTACTACTACTACTACTACTACTACTACTACTACTACTAGTACTGCGACGACTACGACTACAACGATTACTACAACTACGAACAACTTTAACGGCGAATACTACTACTAAAACTACAAAGCCGACTACTACTACGACGGAAACTACAGCTACTACGACCACTACTAATACAGTTACTACGACTACGACTACGACTACTACTACTACTACTACTACTACTACTATTATTAGTATTATTACTACTACTACTACTACTACTGCTACTTACCAGAACTACGACTACGGTTACTACTACTACTACTACTACTTCTACTACTACTACTACTACTACTACTACTACTACTACTACTACGGCTACCACTACTACTACTACTACTACTACTACTACTACTACTACTACTGCTACTACTACTACTACTACTACCGCCACCACTACTTCTGCTACGACTACGACTACTACCCGTACTACTTCTACTACTCCTACCACGTCTACTACTACTACTACTACTACTACTACTACTACTACTACGACTACGACTACGACTATTACTACTACCACGACGACTACTACAACTACGACTACTACTACTATTACCACTACTACTTCTACTACTACTATTACTCCGTCTGCTAATGCTACTACTACTACTACTACTACTACTACTACTACTCCTACTGTTACGATTTGTAATACTACAACTCTTGAATACTTAGTAGTGATAGTGCTACTACTACTGCTGCTACCATGAGGACTACTAACACCCCCACGACAAATTAATGTTGATTGCTGCTACTATGGTTACTACTACTACGTTGATTTTACTACTACTACTACCACTACTACTACTACTACTATTACTTCCACCACTACTGATACCATTACTACGATTACTACCAGTATTACGGCTGCTACGACTACGACTACGACTACGTCTACGACTACAACTGGCATTACGACAAAGACGACGACAACGACTAGGACGACGACGACGACGATGATTACTACTACTACTACTACTACTACTACTACGACTCGTACTACTACTACAACAGTACTACGACGACGACGACCACTACTACTAGAACTACTACCACTACTACTAAGACTCCTACTACTGCTAGTATTATTACTACTACTACGACGACTACTACTACTACTACTACTACTACTACTACTACTACTACTACTATTAGGGTCACACCTGACTTATGGCCGGTGAGGTTTGGGTTTGGGTTTGGGTTTGGGTTTGGGTTTGGGTTTGGGTTTGGGTTTCTTTGTTTTCTATTGGAATCAAATTGTTTTAAATTGTTTTCTATTGGCAACCAATGGTTTGGCTTCGTTTTCTATTGAACACCTATTGTTGTGATTAGTTTCGTATTGGGAACCAATGGTTTCATTAGTTTCCTATATTGGGAACCAATGGTTTTTTGTAACTAGTTTCCTATCGGGAACCAATGGTTTGCATTAGTTTTCTATTGGTGAATTCCTTAGGATTCTTCCGAGATTCCTTATCCTCGGAGATTCCTTCGGATTCCTCCGAGATTCCTGAAGATTCCTGCTGAATTCCTTGGGAATCCTGCTGAATTCCTACGGATTCTTCTGGCATTCCTTAGGGTTCCTGAAGAATTCCTTGGGATTCCTGGAGACTTCCTTAAGATTCATGAGAACTCCTTAGGTTTCCTGGAAGCTTCCTTGGGATTCCGCAGGGATTCCTAAGGATTCCTAAGGATTTCCTTAAGATTCCTTCGGGATTCCCTAGGATTCCTTCGGGTTCCTGGAAGCTTCCTGGAAAAATCCTGAAGTATCCTGCAGGCTTCCTTAGGATTCCGGAAGAATTCTATAGGATTCCAAACGATTCCCTTAGGATTCCGATGGAATCTCTCAGGACTCCCCAGGGATTCTTTAGGATTCCTGAAGAATTCCTCGGGATTCCTCAGGAATTCCTTCGGATTCCTGTAGAATTCCTGAGGATTCCTGAAAATTCCTTTGGTTTCCTGAAAAATTTATGCGGATTCCTCGAGAATTCCTAAAAGGATTCCTCACAGCGTGCCGGCCATAAGTCAAGTGTGAAGGACGCGTACTTTATATAGGGTTTTCGTACACCTGTATAGAAACCCAACCAAACTACCGGCCATAAACACGCCGGCCGTAGACGACGGCTGACCCTACTATTACTACTACTACTACTACTACTACTACTACTGCTACTACTACTACTACCACCACTACTACTACTACTACTACTACTACGACGACGACGACGACGACTACTACTACTACTACGACTACGACTACTACGACTACTACTACTACTACTACTACTACTACTACAACTAATAATATTAATACTTTGCTACCTACGACTACTAGATACTATACTACTTACTACTATACTACTACTATTACTAATACTACTCCTAATTCTTATACTACGGATTAAGACTAATACTACTACGACTACGACTTACGCCTACCACTACGACTACTAATACTACTACTACTGCTACCTCCTACTAAATATTACTACTACGAGACGAACTTACTACTATACTTTCTATTACTACTACTATGGCTACTAATATACTACTACTACTACTACTACTACTACTACGACTACTACTACGACTACGACTACGACTACGACTACGACTACTACTAATACGACTACGACGACGACTACTACTACTACTACCACTACTACTACTACTACTACTACTACTACTACTACTACTACTGTGACTACTACTACTACTACTGCTACTACTACTATCACGACTACTACTACTACTACTACTACTACTACTACTACTACTACTACTACGACTACAACTACTACTTACTACTAACTACTTACTACTATTACTACTACTTACTACTTACTAACTACTCTACTACTACTACTACTACTACGACTTACGACTTAGTCTACGACTACGATACTCTAAGATATGATAATAATATTCAATACTTACCGCTACTACTATACTACTGCTACTTACTACTACTACTACTACTACTACTCTTACGACTACGACTACGACTACTAGTCTACTACTACTGTTTGAGAATTTTTTTCTACTACTACACACGACTACGACTACGACTACTACGTTATACTATCTACTTACTACTACTATACTACTACTACTACTACTACTACTACTTACTACTACTACACTACTACTTACTACTTACTACGACTACTACTCCTACTACTACTACTACTACTACTACTACTACTACTACTACTACTACTACTACTACTACTACTACTACTACTACTACGACTACGACTACGTCTACGACTACGACTACTACTAATAATAATGATAATAATATTCATACTACCGCTACTACTACTACTACTACTACTACTACTACTACTACGACGACGACGACGACGACGACGACGACTACTACTACTACTGTTACCACTACTGTAACCACTACTGCCGGATTTACTACGACGACTGATTCGCCACATCAAGAAAACTTATCTGGAAGAGTTCGTCCTCCGGGTAGCTGAGGCTAGCGTGGTGCGGAATCCTGGAAGTCTCCTTAAAGGGACCGCATCTAGGTTTGAGGAATTGAAGTTCGGCAGAATGTTGACGATCCCTGATACGGTCTCTTCTGGAGAAGTGAATCTTTGGCCAACATCATCAAAATCCAATCAAGATCCAGAAGTCCACCCAGAGAACTAACCCTTGTCTCGGAGAACTAACTCTTTCCCCGGAGAATGAACCTCTCGCGGTGGGGGGAGAGGGGGGGTCGAATCTCTGACGTCGCGATTTTTCGCAACGTGTACCCCCGGATGTCTGGAACTCTTCCAGGGGTCGGTGGTGCCTCCCGGGCCAATCTTTGACCGGTCCCGCGGCGAGGTGAAGGTCCCCCGGGAACACCTCCCGCAGTGATCTCTTCGCGACGAAGGAAATCTGGGCGGGAAGAGGAGGAGGAGAAGCAGGAGGAATGGGAGAGAAGGAAGGGGAGGATGCCCCTAAAATCTGGCGCTGCGAAAATAATGCAGCACCACGAGCGGTCACGACCGGAACCCTACATAGACCCCACATTTCTGCTGCATATGTTGGAGCCAGCTCGAGCTGTGATGGTCCCGTGGCCCAGGGAGCGGCGAAAACGCCTGGCGCGAACAAGTGGCAGCGCGGGGACCTCAGGGGAGCAGCGGGAACGAGGCGATTGGCGGAGGAGGGAGGATGATGAGGGATGATGAGGAGGGAGGAAGGAGGAGGAGGAGGAGGAGGAGGAGGAGGAGGAGGAGGAGGAGGAGGAGGAGGAGAAGGAACAACAACTTGTCAAACCCCTCTAAAGCAAGACCACTCCACAATTCCCTGGGCCCGAGGGACAAGGATGCGGGAGGCGAAGGGAGAGAAAGGATGGAGGAGGAGGAGGAGGAGGAGGGACTCGAGGAGGATGAGGGGGAGTAGAGAGGATGCGGGGGAGGAAGAGGAGGAGGCGGAGGAGGAGGAAGACGGGGGGAAGGGAGGAAGCGGATGGATGATAATAATAATAACGGCAGCAAAAGAGAGATAGGTAGAGAGAGATAGGTAGAGAGAGAGAGAACAAACAAAAACAGCAAAGGAACAAGAGGAACGGAGAGAAGAAGGAGATATAGAGAGACAGAGAGCCATCGAGGGCAAACCTCGCGCTCCAAGCCCGAGAATCGGCGGGCAACCCACGTACGCGGACCAGGTCAGAAGGGGGAAGGCCGACCTCCGCCCCCGAACGCTCGACTCTCCCCACTCCTCCTCCTCCTCCTCCTCCTCCTCCTCCTCCTCCTGCTCCTCCTCCTCCTCCTGCTGCTCCTCCCTCCCCCCCCCTCCTCCGCCTCATCTCTGTCTCTCTCTCTCTCTCTCTCGCTCCCTCTGCCTCTCTCGCTCTCTCGTCCCCCCCCCCCTCTCCCCCCCCTCATTCTCGGCTCAGGTGTCCCTCGCGGCCGTGGGACCGGGAACAGGCCCCCCGCCCTCGAACGAAGGATTGCAAAAAAACAAGTGTTTTGCAATCCTTCTTTCAGGCATCCAGCAACCGAAGCCTCCAGGAGGCCCCCAGAGGCCTCCTGGGCGCCCCCGCACCCCCCGAGGCCTCCCAGCCCCAGGCCGAACCGGCGGATGCCCAGAGGGTGCGCGAAGAAGGCCGCGTGTTCGGTATGCCTCTGGATTTGGAGGGCCTGGAGTTGCCGTCGTCGTTTTGTCGCCGTCAACGCTTCGTCGCCGTCGTCGTCGCCTTTCCGTCGCCGCTGCCGAGACCGTCGCCGTTGTCATCGTCGTCGTCGTCGGCGTCGTCGTCGGCGTCGTCGTCGGCGTCGGCGCCGTCGTCGTCGTCGTCGTCGTCGTCGTCGACTCCCCAGCCCACGAGGCCCTTGCGAGGAGTCGCGGGAGTCACGGCTCCCCCAGCCGCCTCCTGGGCCAGGACCCCGGGGCCCCAGGGGCAACCCCGATAGGGAAGCCCCGACGATGCCTGCAACAAACAAACGCCAACATGAGGAGGAGGAGGAGGATGGGGAGGAGGAGGAGGAGGAGGAGGAGGAGGAGGAGGAGGAGGGGGAGCAGAGGGGGGAGGAGGAGGAAAAGGAGGAGGAGGAGGAGGAGGAGGAGACGAGGGGAAGGAGGAGGAGGAGGAGGAGGTGCTTTGGGCTCCCCCCGAACAGAAACATCTCAAACGAACGAACTACGCGGCCCCATGAGGTCCCGATCGGCGGTGACATCAGAACCCTACCCTCGCCGATCAACGATGCAGGCAACTAGATGGGCGGCGGAGGGAGGGTTCCGAAGTCGTCGAGCACGCGGCGGACCCCGAGCCCTTACCCCGCCTCTGATCGATTCTGGAGGATCGATGGCTTGTGGGGAGTAGGGTTCGGATGTCTCCACTTGCCCGATCCCTTCCCCTCGGTCAGCGTTTCGCCCCGGATCAATGTTTAACCGTCTTGGGGCCCGATAGCGGCACCTGGGAGCCGAAGTCAAGGGAAAACAGCCCGCTGAAAAAGGACATCGTCGGAGATCTGGGTTCGGCCTTCACAGAAGAACCGCGCGGTGGCGGCGACACAGGCCACCAACTACAATCCTAGGATAAAAAATCAAGCTACCGCAGCAGGTATTCAAGCTGTCCTCCTGTGCGCCACGGGGGCGCCAAACAGGCAGCTGGGTAATGGTCGCAGCGCTGGCCTGCTGCTGCGCCTCTCTTCGCGCTGGGGGCATGACGGAGTCCATCCGTCGATATCTGAGAGAGGTCAACTCCTGGGAGGTCTGCGTGGGCGACACGAGGACGGCGGAGTCGGACCCAGGAGACCTAAGGCCAGATGGGATCACATGACACCAAAGATGGGCGGCGCGCACAAGGGGGTGGAGGGAGGGGGGAGGGCCTCTTAGAAGGAGGCTGCGCCTCAGCAAGCACTGGCCTTGCATCCATAGACGAGGCCCGCGCCTTCTGAGAAGCAGGGGTGCTGCTAGGAAGCCCCTCCCCCCACCCCCCTTCTGCGCGTGGCTGACAAGATCAGAACCAGCGAAGCGGGATTTTGAAGGGGCCCTGAGACACACAAATAAATACACACAAATAAAAAGATCCCCCATATTTTCCCATATTTTCTGGGTTTCTGTCTTTCCCCCCCCCAATTTCCCATATTTTCATACATTTTCTGGGGAATCGAGGATTCATTGTGTCTGTGTGTTTCCTTTCCTCCTGAGATCTGGCCAGGCCGGGTCGAGCTGGGGAGCTGCGCGCGACGACGTCGACCAGCCAGCCGTGGCGGCGGCCACCCGGATCCCTCCTAGGAGCGGGCCCCTTATGCGCCGTGAGGCCAGGGCACGGGCCGCTACAATTGAAGGGGCCCAAGGACACACAACTAAATACACACACATAAAATGATTCCCCATATTTTCCTATATTTTTTGAATTTTTGTCTTCCCCCCCACTTCCCATATTTTCCTGGGAGTGGACGATTAATTGTGTCTGTGTGTTTTTTTCCCCTCCTGAACAATAGAGGCCTCCCAGACGGGGTTCCGAGTAGACGGGGTCGGAGGTTTGCTCTGGATCGCCGAGGCATCGCCGATGCAACGGCCACGTCAGCGATGCATCGGCGACGTCGGCATGGCGGAATCGGGCTCCGCATCGAGCCGCATCGCCGATTGATCGGCGATGCGGCGGGATCCTCCTACCCCTGCTGCTCAGACCCAGTCTAGGAGGCCTAGATACAAGAGTCATGTGCGCAATTTCATGGGTCGAAGCTTCGCCGGATTAGGCCACACTGGCACCAAAGAGATGACAAGGGGCCGATGCAGAAAGCTGCCTCCCAGGAGTTGTACGCTGCGAGTGGGGTTGCTGCAAGAGACAGGCAAGCCTCCTGCGCGCCATGGCGGCGCCAAACAGGCCGCCGGGAAGCAGACCAGGAGCGTGGCACTGTTTCACCACGCCTGGCCAGAAAAGAACTACTTCCGGGAGAAGAAGGCCATCCTTTCATGTGTGTTCCCTCCTCTCGCTGCTCGCCAACCTCCTGCGACTCCTCCTGTTCTAACACCTCCTCCTCCTCCTCCTCCTCCTCCTCCTCCTCCTCCTCCTGCACAACAGCTCCTCGTCCTCCTCCTTTTGACGTTCGGCGGACTTCGGCCGCGGGGGGCTGTGGCGTTTCTCGGGCACGAAGACAAAAAAAGGCAGGGCAACGCGAGGCGGGCCTGACCGAGCCGCCGTAGGAACGTAGAGGTGCGAGTCAGTGACGACGAAGAGAGGTGTAGACCATCCAGTGTGTGCTGTATGAGCCTCCTACTCCTCCTCCTCCTCCTCCTCCTCCTCCTCCTCCTCCTCCTCCTCCTCCTCCTCTCCTGCTCCTCCACCACAGCAACACATCCTCCTCCTTCTCCTCCTCCTCATCCTCCTCCTCCTCTTCGACGTCTTCCTCTCTTCGCCTACTTATCCACTTCCTTGTCCTCCTCCTCCTCCTCCTCCTCCTCCTCCTCTGTCATCACTTCCTCCAGTACCCCTTCCCGCCGACATTCCTCCTCTCCTTATTCCCTCCTCTGTCCACCACCGCCACCGTTCTCAGCCCTCCTCCTCCTGCTCCCCGCCCCCCCATTCCTGCCTTCATCACATCTCATCATCGTTCACCCCTTCTGCGCTCATCACCCCCGATCCCTCCGTCCCTCCTTCTCCCCCTCCTCGTCCTTCGTCCCCCCTCCCCCCCTGCTCCCCCTAACCCGAACCACTCCTCCCCGTCCGACCACCAACGGTGTCAGTAGAGCGGTGTGGGCGGTTTGAATCAACACCTGTTCAAGACCTGCTTGACCACCATGGAAGGCAACTCCTGTTCACAATAGTTGCTGACGTGGCCCCCACAAAGTAGGTCACCTTGTCCTCGAATTTATTTATGCGTGGTACAACTCATAGGATGCAACTTGTGTGATGATGCGACAGCATCATCACACAAGTTGCATCCTATGAGCGGTGACAAGCATCAGCTGTTTCTCAACGATAGGGCGCCAACCGCAGAACGCGCACCACGAGGAACCAAGGCGAAAAGTACAGTCGACAACAATTGATTCACCATAGGACACGGGCCATAGAACACCACCCATCGAGCACCAGGGCAGCGTCGCGACGGTCGCAACCATCAAAGAAGCCATGCGGCGCCAACCCTACACGAGATTGCAGCACTCAAAGGCGTTAGAAGGCATCCGCCATAGAACGCAACCCAGTAGCCAACAAATCAATGGCTCGAGCAAATCAGCAGTCAAAGACATCAGTTGTCATACGGAACCAGCCCTGTATCTAGCACAACCCATAGAACACCAAAGTAGGACCCCGAATATCGAAACCGCCATGATGTCGCCAGCGTGGGTTCCAAAAAGGAAGTACATGCACTGTGAATGTGCAAGTTATGTGGTGCAAGCTTTGTGGTGCAGGCTATGTAATGTGTAAGCTATGTAGTGCAAGCTATATGGTGTCAGCTATGTGGTGCCAGCTGTGTGGCGAAGCTGCGTGGTGCAAGCTGCGCCGCGCAGGAGCACGACCTGCGCGGCACGCCGTGCGGCGTCGGCGGTGCGGCGCGGGGTACGCGGTGCAGCGTGTGCGGTGCAGGCCAGGTCGTGCAAGCGCTGTGGTGCAAACTGCGTGGCGCAAACTCTGCACCGCATCCCCCTCCTCCTCCTCCTCCTCCTCCTCCTCCTCCTCCTCCTCCTCCTCCTCCTCCTCCTCCTCCTCCTCCTCCCCTCCTCCTCCACCTCCTCCTCCTCTCCTCCTCCTCCTCCTCCTCCTCCTCCTCCTCCTCCTCCTCCTCCTCCTCCTGGTGGTGCACGCTGTGCGGTGCACGCCGTGCGGCCGGCCCCGCGCACGCCCCGCCCACGAGCAGCCGCCCACGGGCGCCTGCGGGCAGGCCTCCGGCGACGCCACCGCTCGGCAGGCCACCCGGCACGAGGCGCCCACGGCGCGCCACCAGGCGCCCGCCGGCCGGGCACTGGTGAAGGGGCCCTGGGACACACACAAATAAATACACACACGTAAAAAGATTAGCCATGTTTTCCCATCTTTTCTGGGTTCGTATCTTCCCCACCACTTCCCATATGTTCCCATATGTTCTGGGGAATCGACGACCCATTGTGTCTGTGTGTGTTTTTCTCCTCCTGAACTGGACGAGACCTCGGCCGACCCATCGAATTCCTCGAGCAAGGCACGCAAGAACCCCTGAGTGCAAGCGCTGTTTGGCCGCTTTCACGCCCATCCCCAGTCATACAAGGAACGCCCGGGTGCCTCTCGCCTGAACCGTCCACCTCGCATCGGCATCCTGCCGCCTGGCCTGTTCACAGGTTCCGCGGGTGGGGCGCATGCCGTGTGCAGGATGCGCCTATCTGCCTCGATGTCTCTGTTGTCAACCGCCTTGTGACCCCCATCAGCTCCACATGGTGGGCGATATTTTGTCGACATCGAGCTCTCGACTGGGAGCTCCACAGATCGAAATGAGGGGCGAGAGGGCGCGCGGGATGCCACACGTCTGGCGAGACCGCAGCCTGATTTCAGACCGACCAACATCGATCTGGCCCGCTGGTGGGCCCCGGCTGCGCCGCCAGGAGGCACCCACATCCACAGCTCCTGGAGCGCTGCCCTGGGCCCCCTGGGGAGCGGTGGCAATGTCGCCGGGCCGCTTGCTCCTGACGCGCCCAAGCGGACGACGCAGACACCACGGCAAACCCTGCGTCCGAGGCGCCCCAAAGGGAGGGCACCGCGGCAAAGCCCACGGCCAACCCGCCGCGCCCGAGGCGGAGTGTGCCCTGGTGCTGCCGAGGCGCCCCAAGACGTGAGGCGACGCGTCGGAACAAACGGCGCGGCGGCCTGTGGATACGGCAGGTTCGCGCCGTGTGGACTTGTGCTCTCGCGTGGTGCGTCCAACGTTGAACCATCGCCGGTTTTCGGCAGCGCAGAGCGTGAGATGTCGGCCGACTCCAGGCCGCCCTCGGTGCTCAATCTCGAACGCCCACGCTGGTCGACCCTGCCGTGTTCCCTAGCTCCCAGGGGACACCCACCGCATTCCCAGTCATCCGACGATGCGTTTTTTGTTCGATCCGCGGCTGACGGAGGCCAAAATACAGGAAACACGCCAGGGTGGCACAAAAGCAAACATCGGGATCCTCGGGACCTGCGGTGCAGGCATTGGCTAAGGAGCCCTTGGACAAAGAAGCCAGGGTCTTCCAGCCGGTGGACCACCAATATAAGGTCGGCCATGGATATCCCCGCCCTCACCAGACAAATGATCCTACAAGGTCTGAAGACTCATGGGCAGACTCCTTCACTTACGCCTCCGCTGTGTTCCAGGGCGACAAGCATCTACCCGTGTCCGCGGCTTCGGCGGCTGGGCCCCTGGACAGGCGCCCCGGCGGTCGCGGGACGCTCTTTCGCGGAGGCCCTGCACGCAGCGCATCCACGCCACCGCGTATCTGCGGCATCGCGCTCCCGCATCCAGACCGCGAGGGCGCGGATGCGGGCCCAGACATGCGACGCCCTGATTCTTCCAGGACGGCGCCCCTGGCAGCCCCCGACCCTTTCCCCGGGACCGGCTTTTTGGTTCCTCCCGCGGGTCGTTCTTTGACGGCCCCGAGGCCCGGCGAGGGCCCCCCGGGGCCCGGACATGGCCAAAACCCCTCCCGTCCCGATCTTTGCTGCGACGCGATCCTGTCTGGGGACGTCTCTGCCGCTCGTGGGCAGCCGATGTCCTGGGGCGTGCGGCTATACTGAAGGGGCCCCAGGAC